GTCAGAGATGAAAAGGGGGTAATCATGAAAAGAGGAAGGGGCACTTATAAGAAGGAAAATGAGCATGTATTAGGAAGGAAAGGGGGACGTGTCAAATACAAGGGGAATTTATTAGATATGAAAAGAGCATTTATCAGGAGAGGAAGGGGCACTTGTCAAAGTAAAACGATTTTCTCTTAGAATTAAATAGGGTCATTTACAAGAGATGAAAAAGAGATTTATGAGAAGTGGAAGGGGATATTTTTAATGGGGGCACTTATCATAAGGAAAAGGGGCACTTATTAGAAAGGAAAGGGGGTGCATGGGAAAATATAAGGTTCGCTTATCCGAGTTAAAAAAGGTTAGTTATTAAACGGGGAAGGGGCACTTCTTACAAGGCAAAAAGGGCACTTGTCAAAGAAAAAGGGGCACCTCTCAGATTTGAATAGGGTAATTATCTGAGGTGAAGAGGCGCTTATCAAAAGTGAAAAGGGGCACTTACTAGAGATTAAAAAGGGCACTTGTGAGAATGAAAAATGGACACTTATTGCAAAGGAACATGGGAACTTGTCGAAGGAAAATTGGTACGTGTCAAAATAAAAGGGGTACTTATCAGAGTCGGAAAGGGGAAGGTGCACTTTTTAAAAGTATAGTGGCACTTGTCAAATTAAAAGGGGTACTTTTTCTATGTAAAAAGGGGCACTTCTTACAACGGTAAGGGACACTTTTCCTGTAGGAAGGGGCAATTTTGGGGTACTTCAAAAATTGGGGGGATGTGCCCCGCTGAACGTTTTTTTTTAAAGTGGGTGGAGGAGGATAAAGTATTTACCTTCAGATACAGCGTAGCGTAAATTGGCGTGGGGTCTAGGGCAAACCCCGGTGGGGAATAAGGGGTGGAACCCCCGGAAGCTTAGGGGTATGGGCATTTAATTACGGTCAAATGAGCATATTTCGATACCTTATTCATGATACTGACAGGTCACTAATTGGCGTGAGGTCCAGGGGATGCAGCCCCCAGAAGCTCAGGATTTTGTGGGATTAAATTACCGTCTGATGAGCATTCAGAGGCCCGCCTTAGAGCCCTGGGTGGGGACCAGGGGTTTTTAGGCTTTTAATTACGGTCAGCTGACCATATTTTGATACTTTATTTGTGACACATGCAGGTCACTCTTTTTTTCTTTCTTTCTATCTTTCTTTCTATTTCTCTTTAATATACTTTTTAAACAAAGAGGGGGAGGGAGGTCAAGCCCCCTGAGCCCCATCGTTCTGCGGACCCTGGCATATTGGCCTCTTAATAAGCATATTTCTTGCCTGACTGTAAATTTTTGAATTTGTCATTTTCCAACAAATACATACAAAAATTCAGTGAACTAAAAAGCGAGGAAAAATCCCGAAAAATTATGTCATTTAAGCAAAATTTGTAAATCACTGGTATTGATTTAGAAATAAACCACGTTGAAAATTTTGTGGGGGTCAAATGCCCCAAGCCCACCCCCCCCCCCCCCCGCAGTACGCCAGGTGCCAGGTGCGTATTTGGCGCTTGGTCTCAATGACGAAAGAAGATTATTTTCCCTTCTTTTCCCCCTTTTCTTGTCTTCATCCTTTTCATTTTCTTTCACTCTCTTTCCTCCTTCCCCTTCCCTTCCTATCCATTCTCTCTCTCTCTCTCTCTTTCTTTCTTTCTTTTGCTGAGGTGGGGGGGGGGGGGCGGGAGGCAAGGGCATTTTGCCCCCCCCCCCGATCCACGACTGGTCGGCGATATCCCCCTTCTTTTTTTCTTCTTCTTCCTCTTTTTTCCTTCCTTTTATCTCCTCTTTTCCTTTTTTTTTTTCTTTCTCTTTCCTTCCTGCTCTCTGTTTTTGCTGCGGGGGGGGGGGGGGGAAGGCAACAACATGGGCAAGGTCCTTTCGCCCCCCCCCCCCCGATCTCCTTCTTTTCCCCTTTTCTTTTCTTATTTCTCTTCTTTTTTTCCCTTTCTCTCTTCTTTCCCTTTCCCTTCTTTTCCTTCTCCCCCTCTCTCCTTTTTTTTTTTTTTTTTAAATTTGTTTTAATATATTTTTTGGGGGGAAGGCCCCCGCGCTGGGCCCCATCTTTTCCCTTGATCCGCGCCTGGCTTACGCTTGGTTCGTGTGCATTCCATGTGCTCATCAGCAGAGATCCAGCTGCGGCCTAAATAAAACAAAAAATATTAAAAATAAACCTAGTCCCAATCAATTCCTTTTAGTTCCCTTTCAGCCCACGCCCTAAATTGCAAAACAGCCTGAGCCCCTCCCCCACCCCTTCCTTGCTTGCGACAAGACGTATTGAAAAATATATATATTGAATTGACAGGCCAAGTCGGGCTATCTAAGATGCCACAATTCTAGCTCCGTCCCGCGCCACATCTGTTTCCCTTTTTTGGTGTTCAAACTGTAAACTTTTCAGAGAGTAAAATGCCAGAATTTTCCCATTTGAGAAGTGATGAAGTATGATTAAAAGATACAAACCAGTCTTATAAGGACTAAATACTACGAACTATACTGTAACACTAACACAATCATACTCGCCTCGATCGTGTAACTTTGCATAACAAAATTCGCGACACGGCCGAAAAGGCTACCCGACGGCCCGCTATAACAAGTGCTCTGGTTCGCCAGAGTTAAATATACGTACACATGTTTAACATGCGGTACTGTATTTCCCGTTTTGTGTACGTAAACGATAACCCTGCACAGTAATTGGCCGATCAACTACCGCAAGCACTATACTAACTACCGTAAGCTACTAACCAGTACCGCAAGCTCGCTTGCGATATATGGCGGCGTTGGCCTTCCATAATAAACCAATGTGTGTACGTAAACATTACTCATAGCCGAGTCATATATACGTACACGGCTCGACTGTAAGTACTGTACACTGATCTCTACGAAAAAATCGTAGAGATCACACTGATCAACGTCATTTTTAGTATGGACGCCCTCTGTTGTTAAGTCATTTGCAGCGATGACAGAAATGATGACCGATGGCAGAAAAAAAAGGAAAAGAAAAAGAAAGCATAATCTAGAAAGAAGAAAGAATTAATGAAAGAAATAAAGAAAGAAATGAGAGAAAAGGAGGAAATAAGTAAAAATATTCAATAAATGTCCTAAATTTTAAAACGGTTACACAATGCGATCTAAAATTTATTTGGGCTTATCAATTAAGTATACAAATTAATCCCCCCCCCCCCCCAGGGCACTTTCTGGAAGAAAAAAAAAGGAGCACCTATAAACCTCAAAGAGAAAATATACACTTTTCAGACATTGGTATGATTGTGATTGAATTATCAGGGATGATTTCAATATTTGTTCACCTCTTTACATGGTCCAAAATACTAATTAAGTATCAAACTTTGTAGCTGGGTGTGATGGTCTGAATATTCATTTGGAAGCGAGCGAGCAAAAATGTATAAGATTTGTAAGGTCGTAGCGGGAACGGAGTGCGAGAAATAACAAAAATTGCATATATAAATCCTAATGGGATTTAAGAACAATCTAATCATGTAAGAATGAAAAGATCTTTAACAAATAATTATCATATAGACTATAAATATAGCCAGCGTAGCTGTCGCTTTAAACTATAGGGGCGCATGTTATGGATAAAGGAAAAGGGTGAACTCTTGGTACGGAAATGGACACTTATTAGAAAATAAAAGGAACACGCTTCATAGTAAAAAGAGCAATCATCCGAGAAACTAATTATTCTCGCAAAGACGGGGCACTCACCAGAGATGAAAAAGGAGAATTTATTTATCAGATTTTAATAGGAGCATCTATCAAAGGTGAAAAGGGGCATTTTCAAAAAGGAGAAGGGGCTCTTATAAAAAAAAGGAAATGGGACACTTTTCAAAGTAAAATGGCACAACTAAGATTTAAATAGGGGCGATTAATTAGAGGTGAAGGGGCACTTATCAGAAATGAAAAGGGACACTTACCAGAATGATGAAAAATGGCACTTATGTAAATGGAAAAGGGACAAAGGAAATGGGGCACTTATCGAAGAAAAAGAGGCACCTATAAGATTTAGCTGCATACTGAGGGGATTTTACCAGAGGTGAAATAGGCATTTATGAGAAGGGGAAGGGACACGATCTTATTAATATTTAAAAGTGTGGGCACTTAGTTTAGTTTTCACAAAGAAAAGGAGCAATTAATTGTCAAATAAAAAGGCACTTATCAGAGGTGAAATTGATACACAATTGAAGGGGAAGGAGCACTTCTAACACAGTAAAAAGGGGCAATTTTGGGGTACATGAAAAAGGGGAATATTGTGCCCCGGCCCCAAGCTTGCCTCCGTAAGTGACACAATCAGAATCCGATTTATATCCCAGAACGAAGCTTGCTTGGCAAGTTGTACTGAACTATATGTGATCTATATATCGGGAAACACCATGCATGAAACTGAAGAAGGGGCATATGTCAGAAAAATATGTTCAAAATTAAAGCCCACTCCTCAAGATATTAGTTATAGCTTTGTAGTTTGCATCCGGCCTTCGACGTCCCCGTAATAATGACAAAATGCACATTTAATTGTAATTTCATTGATTTCTCACTTTACATGTCATGACTCAATTTAGTAGGCAGCAAGCCGGTTCATGTATAACTATAATTAAGTCTAGAACATTCCAAGTCCGATTGTGGACAGATGTATACGCCCCCATGCAATTCATTCTGACAAACTGACAAAATTCTATGCTAAAAAAATCGGGAACTATCTATGGAAAAGAAAGAAGTAAGAAGAAGAAGTTTTTTTTTTTTTTTTTTTTTTTTTTTTTTAGATTTATATGAAGATAAAAATTACCTACATGTACCAATAACAATCAGATGGAGATCTGGGGGCGTTTCACAAAGCCTTTTTTCAATGACAAATAACAAAAATCAGTGACTAATCTGCTGATAACCAATCAGAAGCAAGGATTTCAGTAGCTTAACACTAATTGTCATTTGTCATTGATGACAAGTTTTTTGAAAATGTACCCAGATGACTTAAACGGGGATTCCCCTGGCCTGTACGTTATATATTGCGTCATAATAACGGCTTATTTGCGCGTGTAGAGAGTCTATATAGACCTCTCTAGTGGAATTCCCCCATCAACATTACTCATTAGCATACGGAATTGAGGTTTGGTTTGCGATTCTGTCATCATCAGTGATCTGTAACTGGGCATAAAACTGAACCGATAAGTTACATTTTAATAGCTTTTGTAGTTCTGAAGTTGAGCCAAGGCAAGACCAATTCATTGTTCGGAAATAATCTACAGACTGTACAGCTACAGACTACGTACTGAAGTGAGGCTCGAGATCGAGAGCCAAACCAGTCTGCAGTCGCGAGCTGAGTGAGAGGAGCGGACAACTACTGAAGTGCAAAGTACAGTCTGGGCCTGGAGCACAGGTAATGACATGTTCTGATTATATGGGGTTTAATAGTCAACTTTCATGTAGTGGAAATGTAGTGGAAATATAGTGCTGATTAATGTTTCAAATTTTTGATTAATTTGAAAATTGGCCTCATTTTTCAAATATAGCTACTGTCTGTAGATTCACCAAATCAATTAATGTCTTGATTGGATTGTGTCAATTAACTGTCAAGTTAGTCACAAAATAAAAGAGAGAGATAGAGAGAAAGATAGATTGTGACATGAATGACTGGATGTCACTTGCTGGAACAGTGGAAGTTATCCATTCACATAGACGGACAAATCTGCCTGCTTGGAGGGCTTTTTGAAAATATTTTGTCTTTTGATGCTCTCCTCCAAGAGCTAGAGGGATTAAGAAAAGCCCGGCGTAGCGTCGGCAGAACATATATCCCCAAACAAAGTTGGGGATTTAAGTTAATAGTTATTAAGTTAATAGTGTACCAACTGTAACATCACATTAAGTACTTCTGCCATATTTGTTTTTAAATACTGATTATCATTTATACTGGTATTTGTGGTACCGTAAGTAAGAAAATTGTACGTACCACAACATTTTTACTTGCCACTAATTTTTAATAACACTAATTCCTGATATGACCCCACACTCATGATGTACCTTCCAATTTTCAATACCTGGACTGCATGTCAAGGAACTGTCTTAAACTGTACAAGTTTCGGAACTCACAGTGATACATTATAGATTAATATTCTTTTCAATGGGATATCACCATGTCAGTGATCTTGCGCTTATGACAGTTTTGTGAAACGATGCCCATATTACAATTCATAACAGGACATTTTCCATTTATCCGATATAGTGAGAATGGCTGACCAAGACCAGGATAAGCTAGATGTGGACTGCATCGTGACATCACCTGGAATTGGTTACCACGATCCAGATCACCTAGGGAGCGAGATTTCGCATTCCCAACCGCTGACAGTTCACCCCCCTCCAGTTCAGAATGGACTGGACCGCCTGGACGGAGAAAATCGACTCCAGAGCAGCATCGTGAGAGATGGAAGGCTACAGAGCGGGGATCAGCGCAGGAGATTGGACAAATGTAGCCAGGCAAAGCAAAGAGCTACGGAAGAAGTTGAAACGATTTATCAATTTTGCGAAGACCTCTGTGCTGAGAATGAGCGACTGAAGGATGAGAATAGGCTACTTCAGGCGGAGGATGGGCTTTGCAGAAACTGCAGGTTATCCTTGAGTGTACCAGTGACTGAATTTGAAAAGACTGTAAGGGAGGAGGACCTTGAACAACAACTTGAGGAAGCTAATATTAAGACAGCACAGCTTCAGCATAGGTGTAAAGAGTTGTTAGATGAAGTGACAAGACTGAAAGGTGGATCATATGATGGCGCCAGAGGTGAGATGAGGCTGGCAGGCCTGATAATTACTTGATTTAAATCGGTTTCCTGATTTTTTTGTTTTTTGTTTTTTGTTTTCCCCGATTTTATCCCTATTTTCCCCTTATTTTCTCTATTCTTCCCTATTTTTCCCAATTTTCATACTCAAAAGGTTAAAAGGGAGAATGTTGTTAGATGGTCATTTTTACCTTGAATCCTCTTCTTATTTTTTTTTACTCAAAGGGGGCATGGTTGAGGGGGAAAAAACACTATGTTTTTTCGTGCTCACTATCACCCCTGGGCTGGATACCCCCTTGTCCATGACTAAGCTTATTCAAAATTAGCTTGTACTCCTACTGTCCTACATGCACGTAGCTATATTCCTGTTAGAATTGGCTTCAGTAGGGTTGCATCACTTTCTTGTGGATAATTGGCAGGAATTGATCAAGGGCATAGCATATTGAGAGAGATCGTGGTGACATGTGCACACATATCGATCAAAGGTCAATTCATGGAGCTCCAAATAGTTCCCTCCCACATACAATCTCCATGGGTGGGAACTATTTTGAGCTCCATGAATTGACCTTTGATTGCATACGTTTGCCTGTGTCACAACTTTCTTTCTCAATGCGCTATGGTATATATATGAAAAGAGGAAAATAATTATTTAAATTTTATTGTCTACCTTAAAACCCTAAATTAGTGGCAGAGTAATCAGGAATTAATCTTCTTTAGCCACACTCGACCCAGGTGAGGTAAATGGGTACCTGGCATGTTTAATTCCTTGAAATGCTGGAGCGCTGTAATGGCAGCTAGGCTAAAGCTGGAGTAATGATAAGTGCACCTTGGAATAGAATTTCTAGATAAGTGGCGCTATATACAAATGCCTTTCATTATTATAATTTAAGCATTTAACTAGCAAATATGAGTAAATTAAATCATTCTTCCATTGATTATGGTGTTCATTATGAACTTTTTCTATTATGTCCTATTGGGGAGATGCGATAGCTCAGTTGACCGTAGAGCAGGGGTTTCGTAATCCGGTGACCCGGGTTCGAAACCCATTCAATGCGCTAGTGCCCTATGGTAAGGCATTAATCCTCATTACCAGGTCCCTCGGAGAGGACCTAAAGCCGTCAGTCTTCTGGTTGCTTACTTACAAGCATTTATTGCTTTCTTAGCTGTCAGATAAAATAACCACCACCACTACATGTATCTATCACATCTTTTACTTTAACTTCCAGGTAATCTGCCGTTCGCGACTAATGATGATGAGAGTCTTCCTAGTCCAAAACAGACTGAATCTGTTGGGAATGCTTTTCACAGTGTTGACCCGCTGATACAAGTTGTGAAAGAGGGAAGGCAAGACCAGGGAGGGGCCATTGAGCAGGCAGCGAGACCAGCGGTGGTGGTAGAACGTGCAAGGGTAAGAGACAAAGGCAATTCTCAAAGTGCAATCTGTCTGTTTGGAGCCAGAAGGCATTAACTCTGTGTTTAAAGTACATGTATATAAGTTAATGCCATTGTTGCTCTAAACAGCTCAATTTTCTGGGGGGCCCTTGGCCCAAAATTTGCTCCAGTGACATATTCCTTGGGCTTCATTTTTCTTGTGATATTATAGTGTTAGGGATTGAAGGTTAAAGTTCAACATTTAAATTGTTTAAAGTTGACACCAGCAAGTGTAGAGTTCTTCTTCTTCTTCCATTGTACATCCCTCTAAAAGAGTTTTGTCGTACTTTGTGCAGAGTTGAAGCCTATTTTAAGAGAGATAGTAAGAGAATAGATGGAAAGAGTGATGGATGGATTTTTTTTCTTAAAAATAGAAAAAACGTTTATTGCAGTTGCAGTTGCATGTGTTATTAGTAAGTTGTTATTATAGTTCAATGGTTCGGTTTAGTGTAAATTGTAACTGGATTAACATGTATGCTAATTTCCTATAATTTTTTCTTTTGCTCCTTTCTCTTTTTCAATCCCGAAAAGTGCATCGGGACTGCATATTTAGTGATATGCGCTTTAAAAAATACAGTTTGTTGTTATTATTATTACATATGCTATCACTATTTTCTATTTTTATCCTGATACAGACCCCGAGCCCTGATGATTGCGCCATCTTCCTGGCAGATCGAATTAAATCAGGCGGCGAGATCAACACTCTCTTACGCAACATGAGCCTCAACAGCGTTGAAATAGCCGACCTCGAAGAGCGTCACCCTAAGAACCCCAAAGAGTTCCGGATAGACGGCATCAAGACCGGTATCGTGTCAGCTAAAGGGGACCGCGTCACCTTCCTCCTAGATGCTCTTGAGAAGTCAAAGCTGAATCATCAGGTGGACTTGTTCTGTGACGAATTCAACATTCAGCGCCGTAGGACGAAAGGTAGTACACAATAGTGCTGTAGTCAAACGTTTAACCGTCCGGTATCCGACCGCCCATGGCGGATTCCATTTTCAATTGGACGGTTTCGTTTTCCCAATTTTTTTTTTTTTTTTAAGTTTCGATTTATATATGCCCCTCCACCTGGTACTATGCCTGGCAATGTCTACCAGCTCAGTAATCTGTGCATTGACTCACCACTCCGAAACTAGAACAACACTCCAATTTGTCTGTCATCTTGGTTTGAAAGTAATCTTTGTAATAGATCTCACTGATATGTAGTTTATAATAATAATTCATCCAACTTTTACACAAGGCATACCACAAGGTTCTATCCTAGGTCCTCTAATGTTTTTAATTTACATCAATGATCTTACACATTCTTCTAAATGTTCTTTTAAATGAATATCCTTCCCGCGTGCGTTTTTTTCACAGTCGGTCAAAAAAACAACTAAAAAAAAATGATTTTTTTTTTTTTTTTTTTTTTTTAAATCGTTTAACCGAAAACCGTCCGGTTTTGACTGGCGGTTAAACGGAATTGGAGATATCCGTGATGTTACAGCACTAGTACACAAGCACTCGCATCTAAACATGGCATGCACTGATACACATACCGGTACTGGCCGGTGTAGTGGGTTTGTAGTTCTTTGCTGCACCATTTTTTCTATGTGCTTTTGTAGGCCACAGGCATAGCTCCAGAAGAGGAGATATAGTTGTGACAATTCATCTGTTTGGTGCCAGAAGGGCTTTAACTCTGTCTAAAAAGATATGAGATAATGCCCTTCTGCCTCCAAACATATAGTTCCCTTCCACATACACTCTTCTGTGGAGGGAACTAAATGGCCCAAATTCACAAAGGACTCGAGGAGGTTTAACTAATTAACCCATGGTTTAAACCCTCATTTACATAACCCATGGTTTAAAAATTAGCGCCAAATAAGCGTTTAATATTGGACCTCTGACTGTGTCACGCTTATTTTGCGCTAATCATGTGTCTGGATCTCTGTAGATTTGATAAGTACACATGTGCATATCACAACTGTCTCCCCTCTTGTAGGTATATATATTCTCAGGATTTGTATGCCACCAATGACATAGCCTAGGGTTTATGTAGGGTAAGATTTAGTATTGGGGTGTACTAAAGCACATTCATACTTGTGTTGCTATCCTGTTTTTATTCTTTTGAACTAACTTTAACTACATTAATTACAGTTCACTTACAGTGTAGGACCGGAAACTAGAAAACTGTTTATAAGGTATAAATCTTGTAAAATTGGAAGTAATAGAAAGGGTGAGTACTGAGTTGGGTGGAGCAACCTTTTTTTTTTCATGCTCAGAGATACCTTGGAAGGGAAAATGGATGGTAAATGGGGAAGAAGAAGACCAAGAGTTAGGATGATGTCTGACTTGATAGGTGAAAGATCATATGATGAAATGAAGAAGAAGCCGGCTAAAGATAGAGAGGAATGGAGAAAGAAAAAAAGAAGAAAAATATCCTGCAAGAGATATTTAGATGAGTATTTCTCTATCATTTTTAATACATCATGAATTTGTGTATTTGTAATCGTCCTGAGAATTTGTTTTTGCTTTTTTTTGTTACTTACTTTTTTTAAATACATAAGTATAGAAGAAATCCTGCAAGTTTATGGTGTGCGGTAGGAGGGTTACTGTTACCTGTAGGTCATATTTCTAACAACTAATATGATGGATGAAGATCAACTGCTGTACATTTTAATTTTGGGTTTAAACTGTAAAGAGCTCATAAGTCTAACAGATTCAAACGTATATGTCAACCTTTTAACTGTTAAAATGGATTGTGGTTATTTGTGTCTCAAATGTGCATGTATGTATAAGTTTACCGACAAATGCGATAATGTATCTTGGAAAATAATTGAGATAAAAGAAATCTCATTATCATGTGATCAGATATGTTTCTTTAGAAAGATCTGCTTTGAATGCAAAACAGATTTGTCAACAAAATTTAATATTGGTGTGTTGATAAAGAGATAAAGGTCATTGTACTTTTACTTGTTCATACTGTTGTCATATAACATTGGGAATAGGGCTTGTGGTGTCATTTACTTATGCACATTTCATCATGTAACATCTCATAACATCTATTTTAGTTTCTTTGGTTTGTTTCATTTGTTAGAAGGTACAATGATCCAACATATGCTCTGGTGACAATTGCTCCAGGCTTTATTTTGTCAAAAGTAAGATTAGGGTTGAAATCGTGTTCTAAGTTAGGTTTAGGGTTACAGTTAGTGTTGGGAACAGTATAGTGTCAAGGGTTGAAGTTTTGAATTCAGTTAGTGTAGGAAATTAATTTGTAGCTTTTGTCACAGGAGCATGTGTAGCACAACCCATTGACACATATTCCATGACATTTTTAGGGCTAGAGTACAAGCATTTTCCTTTACTTATTGTGAACTTTGGCCATTACTTCCTGTACTGCATGCACATCATACCAAGTCAAAAATGTGCAGGTAATTATTTGTCTAACTTGGATGTACATGTATTCACAATATGTATAAAAATAAATATACCAAAATGTGCACTTATCAAAATGAAAAGCAGTGTAAAGTATCATGTACTCAAGAATTGAAATTATGGTAATAAATGAAGCAATATAATACAAAAACTGGACAAGTAAAGCATTTATTTTTTGTTTCCACTTATCTTGTCCGTATTCAAAGTGAATTTGATTTAAAAACCTTAGGCTCTGTATAGAATTGGTGCAAGGAACACAATTTGGGGGTCTACATTCCACAACAGTGACAATTATATATTGTATCTCTCTTTATGAAGCAGAATGTAAAATGTAGTAATCAAAAATAAATCAATGACACACACACACAAAAAATGCATGATTGCAAAGCTCTTTTGCTTATTTAATCATTTATAAGTTAAAAATGTAAACTTTTTTTCCTATTAGGACCAATTCAAGCAAAGGGACAACCGTCAGGTAAGCGAAATCATTGTGTCTTGATCGGCATTTTTAATCTACATTACTAGAGATTATATTCACAAGCTTTTCAGGAACATTGCTTTTATTGAAGCTCACAATCTTTTAATTCAGAAAGAGTGAGTGGATTTTACTATTTTGTCTGCATTTTATGAGAGTTCAAAATGTATCAGTTGATTTTTGATAGCACATTACAATCACAACATTTGTGTAACATTGAAAAACCTTGGGTAGATACAAGGTTATGTGTCCCTCAATCATTTCCTTCTTTTGCTGTAGGATCTATGTTTGCCAATATAGTTTCATAAGAGATTAAAACAAAACAAAATTTTCTTATTCCTCATTTATTTTAGCTCAGAAACCATTACAAGCTTCAAGCCCAGGTAAGCTGATGTTTAAATCTCTTATTTTAACACATTAATAAATCATTAGTTTTCAATTAGTTTTTAAAAAAGCAACTACAAATGGGAACAAAACAGTTTTAAACAGATTTAATCAAATGCTGACGATATGTGCACTGAGACAATGTAGTTGGATATCTATGTAATGGAATGTTACAGAAACTAACTAGGTGAAACATGTCATTATTCAGTCCATTGATACCGTTGTAACGATGACAACATGATAAAACCTTTAAAGGTATAGACCAGTTATGGTCATGCGATTGCATTGTGAAAGAAACGTTGTGGAATCGATCAGAAAAGGTTTATCATCTAGCACATAAGTATTGGTGTGTACTGCAAGGTTCTAGAATCATCAAAATGATAAGAAATTTTGCCCAGTCTTGGTAAAGTTACGCACTGTACACAGAAAGATGTATATGGGACTACGCGATATCTATCCATTCCGGCCGGATAGATATAATAATTTACCAAATATATCAATTAGTAGGCGGTTTCCCGGCAAAATCACCTATTAGTCAAAACATATTCTTTCACATGATTGGTAATAATTAGCTTCCGACCATTGCATTTTTTGAGAGGGGGGCATTTCCAAAACTGGTCTATACCTTTAAATATTTTCTTGCATGGCTCCACAGTCTGCTAGTGATGCTATAATTTTCCTACCTTTTTACCTGACAAGATGACTTTGCGGACTCGCCGTGCCTGGAGCCACAGAGTGACTTTGAGACTGTCCTTCAGCCTTTCCTCGTAGATCCAGCTAGCATTCATACCATTGCAGATGACTTAGGCAAGGAGAAGGACTTTACAGTGTCGCAACTGAAGCAATTCAAGGCTTCCTTTCCAAGATGGAAGCAACAGCATCGGAAATACCTTGAGAAGGTTAGTTTGGTGGAACAGCTTCAGAATACCCCACCACAAAATTAACCATAAAATTAACCCTATTTCTAACACTAACTCCCGCACCCTAACCCTAACCCTAACCTTTCAATTGTACATACCGGTAGTTGAGAAGGTATGATGAAACGTCAGAATACCTCACCGTACATATAACCTAAACCCTAAGGCTAAACTTTCATCCAGATATTTTACAAAACGAACTTTTGATTAACAAACTATTATGCATTTAGTGTTCCCGATGCATCTTTTTAATAGCTAGGCCACTACATTTCTTTGAGGCTCTAAGCTACCTGAAAACTGACCCCTGACCCTTACCCTAACCCTTGCATGTAAATTTAACTGTATACAAGGAAAGAAGCAGTATCAATTACACACATATAATCATGATACCAATCATGAACCATCCATTTTTACCTAAATTCTTCTCCCAATTCCTGTCTACCACAGGAAGGTGTGAGTCGCTGCACAATGGATGTTCTAAATGTTTGGGCCTCGGTTGAGGTGGATAGAACGAAAGGGGGTTCCGACCCAGTCCAAGGTATAGAGTTCCTGGCTAAGGCCCTCAGAGGCACTGGAAGAATGGATATCCTGGAGAAACTCAAGAGTTTTCTTCGGAAAGGAGTTGTGGGTAAGACCAGTTTCGATGCTCTGTTTGGAGTCAGGCTAACTTGGATCCGGGGACAACTCGGCCAGCTGCAAGGTTTAGGGTTAGAGTTAGGGTTAGGGTTAGGGTAAAATGACAAAAAAAATGACCCTCTTTGCAGTGGGGCCGAGTTGTCCCCAGGTCCGAGTTAGCCCGGATCCCTCTGTTTGTATCGGTCCATTCAACGAGGTTCGTATGTACATATTTTGAAAGTGAATATTGCCTGTTGAAATTTTATCTTTATCAAAGAAAAGTAGGATACATATGATACGTAAGTTAACATGATAAAGCACATCAAGCATGGTCTAAACCCCATTATTTCATTTGACCAAGGAGATCTTTAATCTACTGTTTTAATCAGTCCTTCCAATTAAGTCTTTGTTACATCAATTCTTTCACCGCCATAGGTGGGCAATACCAGATAACCTAAAATTGAATATAATTTATTTGGAATAAAGAGAGTTTGTCTTATTGAAATTCATGTAGGGCTTAAGTTTTAAAAATTACTGACAGTAGCACACAATAATGGCTAGGGAAAAGAAGCCACTTGTGTTTTTATTTCTCCAAGTGCTGGCATATGCCAATGCTAGTATATTACTTTTAATTAATAGATGTGGTAACTGCTTGTGTATTTTATGAAAATTGTAACTACAGAGCAAGATTAAGAAGTGCAGGTAATGAATTATTAGTACATTTTAGTATAGCAGAATACATGTTTTAGAATCACAGGAAGTCAGTTTGTCTACAAAAACGCTGAGGTAACAGCAGAGCCATCTATACACAGAGTTTGGCCAACTTAGTTTCACTGGGTCACAACATGGCGTTTATTCTTTTGTTTTGTGCTTGCCTAACAAAGCAGTAGTTGGCCAAACTCTGTGTATAGATGGCTCTGGGTAGCAGAAGTGCAAAGCATTATGGGAATGTATATGGCTATATGTGGTAGTGAGAATTATACATCATATCCAAACATAGTCATTTGCAAGTTTGAAGAACAGTATGTCATCATTGAATTATATTCTTTTCCTTACAGGCCCATCTTTGAAGAGAGACCTGTACCTGCGAGAAATTTCTTCTTATGCTCTCAAAGTGGAGATTATCCAGTACCTTGGACTAAACAAGGAAGCAGGTTAGTGAACATGAAGAAATTGAATGAAGGGTATAAGAGATTTTATTTTGTCCTTTATTGGTTTATGACGAATTGACGATAATGATCAGAATTACAATAACCTGATGTTATTAATATCACCAAATAAAAAAAGAAACATTAGTTCTTATATTAAATGATTAGAACCTGTAAAGTCATGAAGCTAATCTGTTTTTAGTAGTAGTACTAGAAAAATGGCAGTAGTAGTAGTAGTAGCAGTAATAGTAGTAATGGTAGTAGTAGTAGTAGTAGTAGCAGTAGTAGTAGCAGCAGCAGTAGTAGTAGTAGAAGAAGAAGTAATAGTAGGAGTAGTAGTAATAGTAGTAGTAGTAGTAGTAGTAGTAGTAGAGGTAGTAGTATAATAGGGAGGAGAAGAGGAACATGAAAGAGGACAAGGAGGAGCTATACAAGTTTTTTTATCAAAAATAATCATCATCATAAAGTAATGATTGATAATTATCATCCTTATTTATTCTATTTCATTTTTTAAAAGGCCATGATGACTGGCGAGCACTCACCAAAGACATAGGCCATGCAAAATACGTTATAATGTGGGAACAAGAACACCATCCCGCTGAAGTCCTTTGGAATGTTTGGAAGACAAGCAACGATGCTACAATTGGCAAATTATACGACTGGGCCGTCGGCAAGGAGAGACTCGATATCGCTGGAGTTCTAGAAAATGAAGCCTGACTGGATGCATCAATTGTCAGAAGCTTTGAGCAAAGCATTTTTATCTACATTTCTTCTGTCCACCCAGGTGTTAAATGGTATACCTGGAGGATTGGGACGTGCGTGCCCGTAAAAAAGGCCACTAGCTGGAAATGCTCCCCAGGGAGTGGAGAATGTCTACATTAATGTGCCGAATGGTAGCGAATCCAATGACCAGCAATAATACTGTAATCGCTTTGATCGGGTAATGGTAAAGCGCTGCGTAAGAAACAGGTAATATTATTTACCTGAAACTTCATCTAACCTCATTTCCTATTTCTGTATCTAATAATGCGTAGATGAGTGAGCATGCCTAAGATTTAAGCTGTGTGCAGGTACTTTTTTCCATCCCCACTTGCCTTCCTCTTACATATAAACAAACTTTTGCGGCTTAATGCGGATCTGCACTACTTTTAGCGCCCTCTGTATAGCAAACAGTGCCTGAGCAGTACCTGTTGGGCACCCATGGTCCCCTTTTTCTTATGTTAATTGAGAGCTGATTTAATGAGATAACCACCTGCAGGTGACCATGCAGGGAAGTCTATTCCCTCCTGGCTAAACTAGTACAGATGGGCTTTAAGTCGTCATATGTGAATGAATCTTAAGAAATATCCAATAGCCCTGTGCATCACCTTTTGAGCTGCTGAACATTACAATGACTTATTTATTTTCTTGATTCTCCTCAACTGTTATGCCCTATAATGCAAACTAAAATGTACCCTTTTTTAAGTTGATATAATGATTTCAAATAAATTCGAGCTGCACACATATTTTGTATGTGATTGATACGCAATAAATTAAATGCATCAATTTTTAGGGCATTAGGTTGAAAGGTATGAAACCATTGTTTTGTTATACATGTACCTCATATATTATTTACATATATATATATATATTTATATTAACAGTGTATAATCTGAAAGAAAATGAATGTACAGGTATGGATTCTGACATGAAATTTTCAGTAAGGTGAAAAAGGCAAATGTCAATGTTTGATAATGTAGAATTGTAGATACTTTTGTTGCTGTTATGATTCATGAGATATGGTGCTTATCAGGAATTCTCGCTACCCTAAATAGGTACGAAAATCTCGAAATTCGCGAGACGAGGTAATTTTCACTCTCTCGGGTCGTCACTACAACTTCCGGTATAGAGTCCCATCCCGCTGGCGCTAGCGCCTGTGTTCGCTGTGCAGAGTTTTCACGCACGCTAAAATCGATGCCAATCAGTGTAATTTGTACAGATTATAATATGCAATGGAAAGCTTCGGGCAGAATTAGTGACTTTAGCACAAAAGGCCGTTAAACTCTACCGTGAAAGAGAGGGTTGTGATCACGAACGCCTGCACAGGAAGCTGTAATGTTGAAAAGCTATCCCATAATGCAATGCGCGTTTTCAGGATTTTCCATGGATCTCGGCAGAATCGCTATTTGGGGTAGCGAGAATTGGGTTAATATTTTAATAATTGCAAAATTAGACAAACATGGTCTAGTTGTACGCTACTTTCATAAAGTTGGCTCGATTGGTTGAACCGGTAAATAAGCAAAGAAGACCAAGTTTCTAGGACTTTCAGAATTTTTTTAATAGGACCCTCATTAATATAACTAATGAAATACAAACAAGTTTTCATATGTATCAGAGTTATCAACATTGAAACTGCACAATATCTATGTACATAAATATTGTTTAAAACAAATTACTACCCTATCCAGAATTGTAATACGAAAAAATAAGTAGACTGTTTGGAGCCAGAAGGGTGTTATCTCATTCTCATGTAATTAGCCTGGGGTTAACACCCAACTGCCTTGATCTAAACAAACGTACTGTAAAGCAAATAGGTGTTTTGAAAATCAAGCTTTGGGTGTATTATATCGCTCATTTTCTATATGTATTGTGTATATAAATACATGCCTGAAATTAAGGAAGATAAGTGTCATATATGCATTTTATGTCATCAAAGCTCATTTCTATGAACTGTACTGTTCAATTTAAAATTAAGAGAAACTTAACGTGTGCTATTGCAAAATGACCTCGATGTAGTTTTGGTTTATTTACCATCCATCTCATGTACAAAATCCAAGCCCCGTTGATCTATATATACCTTTGGATGACTTTATCTATAATAACTCATCTATAATTTTTTGTTATGAATTCATCTTTATTGGTTCATCCATCTATATTCTTGTTTATCACATATTGTTCTTTGTACATAATAAACATCAATAGTTATAACTAGTTTTGAAAAGTAAGGCAAGTAAATTTGTACATTTTATGAATTTAAGTAAATGCAGAAAAATGAATTGATGAAACTACCCAAAGCCCCTATAATGTACGTCTCAATATAAATATTCAGTAATATGGGGTATCTGAGGATGTAGGAGGGAGAAAAGGAAATAGATGGAGGTGAGATTAAAGATTAACTAGAGGGAAACAAAGACATATTAGAGAGAGAGAGAGGGAGAGGGAGAGAGAGAGAGAGAGAGAGAGGGAGAGAAGAGAGAGAGGGAGGATACAGAGAGGCTGAATAAAAAAGGGTAAGACAGAGAGAGAGATTGGGAGACATGCAGAGAAAGGAAAATACATGTATGTAGTAAAGAATGTATAGAGAGAAAGTGGTATACATAGAGGGGGAATGAGAGAGAGAGAGAGAGGAAAAGGGGGGGAGGGTACATATACGATGGATGAGAAATAAGATTTAGATCAATTGGGAGACGGATAGAAAAATGACGTTCAATGGAGAAAGAGGCTAAAAGACGAAGAGAGAGAGAGAGAGAGAGAGAGTGAAGCGATTGGGGCACAGAGATGAAGAGAAAGGGGAACTTTGGAAAAAGGGGGCGGGAAGGGGGACATGCATTCATGCAGAAAATATAGTTCATTTGCACCAACGTGAACAACAGGAATATAGAAGAATCGTGGAAAGAGAGAGAGAGAGAGATGGAAAACATTGGAGCTATTTAGTATAGGTCATGCTGTGTTCAATTTCGAGAAGAAAATCGGAATATACAGGTATTTTTTTCGCAAGATTGGGAAGAAAGATTCCCATCATAAGAAAGGACAATTAATTCGAAAACAAAGAAGAAGAAAGACATGCAGTGACAGCTAATACAGACGGGCAGAGTAAGTGTCCCTCTATTCAATTTAAGATTTCCGATCTATGTTAAAATAAACGAATCCCTAATAAAAAGAACAGAAATAAAGTATACTTGTGTCCGTCAGAAATATTTTAGAATTTGAGATATGAAGATATTTATCAAATTGCAGGCTATGTTTTGAGTAGATACATTAGTGTGACGTCACAAAACAAAGCTCTTCTTAGCAGTGTGTGACGTCATTGTTCCGCTTATTCTTGATTGACCTTTACACGATGACCCACATCTACGCGTCATAATGGTCTCATTGTTCCGTCATTCAATGTTTACATTTTCTAGTCAGGCGCGCAATAATGCGCGTAAGTGCAAAGCGCGTTGATTGTTACGTCACACGTTGAAACTAAGGAAACGACTACAACAAGAGAGGGTTTAATAATTAAGAATAAGTATAATGATAAGTGCACTGGAGTTACTGACTGGAACACTACTTTTATTTTGAATTTGTAAGGCTCCTCGAATAGGGTAAGTACATGTGGATATTAATCACAAACATTTACTTTATATTCCAAATTTAGGAGAAAATGTCATATAAATAAATATGGCATATGACATCAATCTGGACAATAGTACATAAATGAATAAACAAATAGATACACAAAATAAATATATTACACAGGACTTGATTGTCCATGTAAGTGTTTTGTTCTTCAAATTGATGAGAATCATATAAAATATAATATTTTATTATGTATTCAAGAACCGAGTATACAAAGCAATTTTTATCCCGCCAGGCTCCACATAGCATCTGCTTTTCTCTTTATCATCACAAATCTAGTCATCTATATCGGAGAAGAAGGTAATCAGATGGCGACCTTTTCTTATGAAGGTATAAATGTGGGAAGTTCTTCCAAAATCCTCACAAAAACAAAAATCGGGATGAAAAAATCAAGCAGCGTCTCGGCCAGCAATCGAAAGAGGTCGAATGGTTTCAGAACGTCACCGGGAGGACTTCGGATGGCGAGTTTGAAGCCGAACGGCCGAAAACACTCGAGGAAATCCGATGTGTCAATAAGAGATTCGACAGTCTTCGTTCCACGACCTCTTCCACCTTTGTTGAAGGTAGGGCGCCCCCTTGCAATTGATTCACTTCGTCAAACTTACCATGATAACTATTACCCAAACGGAACTCAATTTCTGCATACAATTCTGTTTCAATGTTGGTTTCATAGTTCCTTGTTCATGGCATTATGAATTAGATTTCTTTTTGAGACTTTTTAGTTCAACGTTATGTAATTGACAAATATTAAAATCTGGCAAAAAACAAAGCATCTCAGCCGAAAAGGAAAAAAAATACGTAGCAGAAGAAAGTGACCCCTTCCACACGAAAATCCTTCTGGGACGGCATAAGTGATCGATGGCTTAATTGCTTTTTGGCAGGGGGGGGGAGGGGGAGGGGGAGGGGGTGAGTTATATAAAAGGGGGAAAATAATTTTTTTTCTTAATCACGCGTGCCCGTTTGGGGAAAATTTTAACATTTTTTCCTTAAGTGTGTAATGTGCGAAATGTCATTTTCTATCTTCCTATCCCCCCCCCCCCTTTATGTCTTATTTGCGTACAGAGCAACCAGAACAACGCTTATCACAGATCAAGAGAAGAAACTCCGTCATACCTGCAGCTCGTAGCACCAAAGCATATACTACCACCGATAAAGAAAACCAATCAGAGGTACTCTGGCGGAAAACAGTATAATAATGTGAGTGATTCTCATCGTCAAAACACAATATCTCAACAGCAACTCATGTCCAAGACAATTCTTAATGAAGATGTAAATGATATATTGCATGATGAGCAGTTTATTCCTCTCCGGGTTTCGACTCCAAAGAATTCCAAAACAACGTTACGTTCTACAGATAGCCGTGCCCTCCCGAACCCGGTAAATTTGATATTTCGGCAATCTTCGGGCAACAACCAGCAGGATGATCCCTCGGCGTCGCAGACGAAGTCAAGAAGTACCAGCACATCGACATACGCCTCCCTGTCAGATATTAATCACGGTGGGATTACCGATAAAAAGGAGCTTCGGAGATTGAGACGAATTCAAACTCGGCAGTGGGTAAAGTCGTCAGAATTGGCATTCAAAACTCAAAACGACATGGCACTGTCTGGCCTTGAAACCAGTAGCTTTCCGACGGTATCGTCTATCACATTTGGTGACGGCCGATATCCGATTAATCGTGATCAGCCAACGAGTACGGAAAAGCTAAGGAGGATCGTGAGCAACCTAAAACCGCCTGTTCCGACTTTCCAGATAGTCGTTCACGAGCGCGTCAGCAAGTTCAGTATCGATCTCCAGTTCCGCGTCCAGCACATTAAAGACTGGTGGAGCGAGCTCAGATTCCCGCGGTTGCCGAAGATCACGATCGACATCGACTTCGTTCGGCACAGAGAAGCCCTCCGGAGACTTTGCGCTCGATTGCGCAGCAGTCTTCGATATCCCTCACCGCTTATCCTCGATCCACCACCCAGGTTTGTCATCATCCCGTCTTCGACTCAGTGGAATCTTCATGACTCGTCCATGATAACGGATGAACGCAGGCGCTGCAAACTCCAATCACTTCAGCAATACAATCGAAAGGTCGGATGTTATCTCCAAGGCGATGTCGCAATAGTCCATGATGACGATCAAAGAGAACGTCGTTCTCAGTGCGACTTCATAGCGGGGAAACGACGACGTAACACAGGTTCAGGGCTTCATGTTTCGTTTGTAGACGAGGTCGAGCAGGAGGATGGCGCACTCAAGGAATTTAGAAGGAGACGGAATTTCTCGTTAAGCCAAGCTTCAACGAAAAACAATCTCACACCACTCCCCACATGTCCGACTTCGATGACGGAAAGTGAGCAAGCATCAGAAGTGAGTCATAAAAGCTTTATATTAAAGAGCATAATAGGCTGCGATAATTTGCATAA